CTCTCTCTCTCGTCGTCGTCGTCTCTCTCTCGTCGTCGTCGTCGTCGTCGTCGTCGTACGTCGTACGTCGTCGTCGTCGTCGTCGTCGTACGTCGTCGTACGTCGTCGTCGTCTCTCTCTCTCTCTCTCTCTCTCTCTCTCTCTCTCTCTCTCTCTCTCTCTCTCTCTCTCTGGTACGCGCATGCATGTGTGCTCTTGTGCCCATGCAGAAGCTAATCTAACCACACATACACATGACAAACTTGATATTCGTATATGCTTTTTTTATTGGAAAAAGTACACATGACAAACTTGATATTCGTATATGCTTTTTTTATTGGAAAAAGTTTATATAAGGATGCTACCTTATAATGTAGAACTATGGATGCCCCCTCAAATATCCATCGGAAAATGTAGTTTTAATGTTGAAAAACCATTTGATTGATCATCTCGACATCGAGATGTATGACTATGAAAAATAAAAAGATTTTAAGTCTCAGAAATAGTACAGTTTACAACATATTATCTACACCGTCCATTTTCAAGGTTTTCATATGTTTATAGATCTACTTGATTTTAACCATTTTTAAAATTTAAAATTTTATAATTAGATATAAAAATAGATTTTGAGATAATCCTAAGAACATTTTACATCAAAATTATATACCATGATAAAATTTGGAGGTGCACCTTATCTCTACACCTACGGATGCATCCGTATGCAAACTGCACCCTTTTCTATTTATGTGGTTATGATCTTCGGTAATGATCTACAATTGAAGACTCAATGTAGCAGGTTTCGGGCAATTGATGTGAATAATGGCGGTATAACTAGGCTTGTGTTCAATCAAAGAGGAGAAGCTATGCTTCACTTTCTGAATACGACTGCTCATTTGTATAATGATTCCATTTATTTGTAGATGCATTCTATTAATGTTCATTTGATTGCACCATCCAAGAAAAAACAGTGGAGATGTTCTTAATGAGAATTCAGGGAAATGTTTGTAACGCTCTAGCATGCAGCAAATCTTGTGCCAAGAGGCAATGCATAAAAGTAGAAGCAAATAGGTCATAGAAAGGACCAAGATAGATGCACAGGAACAGATACTAGTGTTCATTCTTGCCATGAAATGGTAACACGAGGGTGACGGATAAGATAGATTGAATTTTTGTTTTTTGGGGATCAGATTGAATCTAAGACCTAGTGTTGCACATCAACTGCTGACGAGTTAAGCCCAGACGCAATTCCAATTAATTAGATATTTGAAGCTTGATTGTATTAGTTACTTGATTAGATATTAATTAATGAATGACTCCGGTCCATTAAGCTTTGCCTTCGCAGATTAATATTTATTATTGAGAGAAATCGAGGGACAAATGTGGTCAAACTTTGAGCGTTTTGACACCCCACTGATTTTCTTGATAAGAGTAGTTCACAAAATCCGAACATTTGTCATCGGGTAGAAGCCAACAACCATTCCAGAACAATATTAGCAATTAGGAAACGTTTCCAGACTCTTCTGCGTAACAAATTAAAATACCGTAACGATTCACATCATGCATTTTGCACTGCATTTCAATAATTACCCTGCTAGTTTTGTTCGTGACTGCAAATTTCACGCTCACAACCAGCACTTCCATGGATTTGCGGAGCTCAGTTTTAAATTTTTTATATATCTCTCTCTCACTCTCTCATGCATATCACAGAAACTGCTACTTGCTAAATCACCAACATCCAAACAAAAAATCAAAATCTGAGCAACTTTAGGTAACTTTTTCCAATTTGAGCCCCTTATGACTCCACTTTCCATATGGGGGCATGTGCTTAAAATTTTTCATTGCTAAAAGGAGTTCATATGGGACGCCAATAACAAGACCTGGAAGAAAAACATGACCCAATTTGCAGCATGAAATCAAGAAGAAATGGGACAATCAATTGCTCAAAACAAGAACTTATACACAAAGGGGTTAAAAATTAATGATACACGAATGGAAAAAGATAGGTTCCTCAATCTAGTGTAATGTACTAAATGTATTGGGGATCTCCAGTCTCTAAAATAAAAGATGGCAAACTGAAATGAGCACAACCGATGATACAGGAACACACAGACCCCAAATTGAAACTACAAATATCTCCAACTACGCCAATTTCATGTACAAACCTGTATAAACAACATAATCCTGTCAGGTTCAACATGAATTGATTAATCACATAATCCAAGCTAAACTCAAGCAGAGGCATATAATCCAATGGAGTATGTCACATGGTTATCCAAAGGCGCATCCATCATCGACTCCGATCATAGATGGCAGGGAGTAGCTGTACTGGGTGAATGCACAGATGATATCCACAATAATTAATCTCCACTGTCCATCAATAGGCATGGACAATGAATGCCCCTTTGGAGTAACTGTATTACACGACAAAGATATGGGACGATGATGCAGTATCTGGTTCTCTTACACCGTAACATATGAGATTGATAAAAGAAACATACAAACAAACACATGCAGGCACGCACAAAGAAACACTTGAGAGAGAGAGAGAGAGAGATCAGCTAATATCTTTATATTGATTCATTCATTCTATGACACAGCACATAATCAGCTATATGATTCTATTGATTCATTTATCTATAACACTGCACATAAGTTGTTTGGCATGGTGCAAAAGGAGTAACCTGAACCTGCCAATGTGCTCTAACAAAATCATAAGAAAACTAGGTACAACTGCAATTACATTTTTATGATTACAATGAACAATGGTAAGATATCACAAGACCCTGATTATTGCCCCATAGACTATATTCAAATTTGTATTTGGACTTCAATGCCATTAAGTTAAGGTGCTTTTCACTGCACAAATATAATCAACTGACCAAAACTGCTAAGGGATGGTAGACTAATACTAACATTGGTCTGCAACAACTCCAATACCCTATTGGTTTCTACGTTCTAGCTTTCGAGAAGATAAAGCGATAACTGAGCAGATTTCACAACAAATAGGAACTGAATTCTCCCGAGTCTTCTGTTGGTGATAAGAGGACAAGCTGCTTCTGTATTATATCACAGTTCACAAAATTTATGGTGGCCGTGGCCATGATATCAGAAACAACCTCTAGCCTGTTACATTAAAATAATAGTTAGTTCAACCGACTTTTCTGGCTGGTTTTCTAGCAGCATCTCTTACAGGTTTAAGAAAACAGTCTTTTTGCCATTTTAACTGTTCCTCTCTTTAACAGCTCCTAGCTGTTATAACAGTGCGTTGCTATTTTTTGTAACTTTCCATCATATAATTAGGTTTTATATGGAAAGTTAATCAATAAGAAGAAAATGCACTGCAGACCATAATACATCAATAAGAATGGGCCACAAATCATAAACACTTCAAATGTCTGCATGCCCATGATTTTCACCTCAACTGGGGGAATGTTCTCTCTTTTAGGCCAAGGAAGGTTTCCCAGTCAGCCCTTTGGAGACCTCCTGACGGGTATTATTAAACTTAACTTTGATGGGTTCTTCTTTGGGCAATCCTGGCCTGGCCGGGATAGGTGGCATCTTCCGCAATCACGAGGGCATCCCTTATTTTTTTTAGAATGTTAACCTTTAATAAGTAGATAAAAGAGAGTACAGTGAGGGGTAAAGAAAGGCTATCAACAGGATGAGGGCATCTTTATTCTTTCCTTCTCCTCCTCTATTGGGAGGACTGACTCCGCTGAGGCTGAGGCTTGTGCCCTGCTTGAAGGTCTGAGATTGTTCAACCTTTCTTGGGACTCCTCCCTCATTATCAAAGGGGATTCCAAAAATGTCATCCATTGGGCGTCCAGTCTTTCTCAACCCCCCTGGAGACTTTGGCATATCTTTGATGAAATACATGATCTTTGCAGGCGTATGCAGGTCTCATGGACTCGTACTTGGAGGGAGGCCAACCAAATAGCCGATGAACTAGCTAGACAAGGAGCTTCTTTGGTAACTGATTTATTCAGATGGCACTACCTGTGGTGTTTTTGGTATTAGGCAGTTTTAAGCTTTTCTTAGATGTTTCTCCCTTTTTTTAGTGTGCTTCTAGCTATACAAGGAGCTTCTGTAGTGTTTTTGCTTTTTTGGTGCTGCCTGTTGTGAGGCTGTTTTAGTTTTCCTTCGCTTTTTCTGGTCCCTTTGTCACCTTTCTCAATGACCTTGCTCTCCCTGTGGGCAGTTTTGTACCGTTGTATTTCCTCTTTTCCTTCAATACAATGTTAACAGACTAAAAAAAAAATATTCAGGGCCTCCCTTCAAGCAACATGCTCACTCAATTCCACCTGAAAATTGGCTCAGCATACTCTAGAGCCTCCCTGTGTTAATAGTGGAATACTCATGCAATTAGTTGAGTTACCCACATCAACAACTCTGAACTTGTTTTCTCCTCTACAACCATTAGAGAGTGTCGAGTGTTTATTCCATTGAATATCCAGAGAATAAATATAGAGATGACTGCCCAAATTCTCTATCCTTAAGAGGAGACTGACAATCTAGGTCACATAATTTCTCCCTTCCAAACAAAGTGCGCACTATTCATAGCATGAGTTCCCTTTTAGGGGCCCCTAAGATAATAAACAATATAATATGCTTTAGGGGGCCCCAAAAGTCTCTCAACAATTGGGTCACCCCTCAATATCTACTCAACAAAACAAGATACCCCACTATTCATAGCACGAGTCCTCTTTTATCATAAACAATGTAACATACATAGCAGTGAATTGCACAATCATATGCTATAAGGTGTGTGACTAACTACTTTTTTGATAATGTAAGGTGGCTAATTTCAAAGGAATGGCTCCTTGCAAGGCGCATGGATTACATCAAGACAATCACCTTCCACAGTTAAGGGCAGGAGAAGTTTCTAACTCCACTGGTAATTCCTTCAAGAAGTGCTTTCATTTAGGCGAATGTGGACTTCTTAACTCTTATGGGGCCTGAGGATGACATAAATTTCGGAGCCCATAGATTCGCTCATACCACCAACACCCACGGGTCCTGAGTTACCCCGAGAGCAACTATAGAAGACCACTTTGAATTTACCAATTAATTTTTGCAATGCTAGCTTTGGCTTCTGGTTAAAATGTGTTAGGTGTCCCACTTGCCTCCAAAAAGCCAATGCAACTAAAAGGAATCCTCCAGGGTCCCTATGGATTACACAGAATCTTGGATTCATAGAATCAATAATTTGTCTATTTTGTACCAAAAGTTCTACAACTTAGAGTCATTTTAGAAAGCTAATATTTTGAAAATCTACAACCCCTGGACTCCACACATGAAGCCCTTGGGTTCGATGTATCTCAACACAACCCCATGAAATCTCTCTCAGGCCACAAAACCCTAGCTCCTCTCTCTCTACCCCTTCTATCCCTTTTCTCAACACACCTTTCTCTCTCTACCCCTTTTCTTTACATCTGCGACTCCTTGTCACCTCTCCCATCCCAAGCTCAACTCGACAAACTACCACTCTCTTTCCTTGAATTCCTCTCAATTTTCTCCACCCATATCCAGTTTCTCTCTACAATTTTTCTCTCCTCATTTTCTCCACCCCTCTCCATAAACCTTTTCTGTGTTTATTTCTTGTTGCTTTTATTCATAGGTTGAGTATCTATCGCTCTCGCTTGCTTCCTCCCTCCCTCCTACAAAACAATCTCATACAACAGTTCAATCCTTCCCTCTTTCCCTCCCTCCCTCCCTCCCTCCCTCCTACAAAACAAACGCATACGACAGTTCAATCCTTCTCTCCCTCCCTCCCTCCTTCCCTCCCTCCCTCGTACAAAACAATCTCATACAACAAGTCCATCCTTCTAATTTACAGGAAAAGAATCCTTGCATACCCACATATCCATCAATAAAATATCTTTGCCTTTTGGGCGATCTTTTCATATGTTGTTTGGTTATGCATTCTTTATGCAATATCATCATCATCATCATCATCATTATTATCATCATTTTAGCCTTTTCCCCATTAATTGGGGTTGGCTACATGAATCTTAGTTCTCCATTCTTCGTGCAATATATGAGATGGAATTGATTTCTAGTGGTTTCTACAAAATGGGATTATAGCACCTGACAACAAATGAATTCGCTCTAGGTTATCCAAAAGAAAATTTCTTCCTACGAACAAACTCATTCCACAGTTCAATCCATCTCTCCCTCCCTCCCTCCTACAAAACAATGTCATACAACAGTTCAATCATTCTAATTTACAAGCCGTATGCCTACATATCGGTCAATAAAGACCTTTTGCCTTTTGGCCAATCTTTCATATGCTGTTTGGTTTTGCATTCTTCGTGTAATATATGAGATGGATTTGATTTCTAATGGTTTCTGCATGAATTTGCTCTAGGTTATCCAAAAGATAAATCCTTTCAGGAAGCTCAAAGAGCCCTAGAAAAAGCCATGAGGGTTTTGCCTATTTTCATATATCCAATGAATTGGAGGTCTTTACAGATATGGAAAGCTGCAATGTTATTTTTTTGAGTAAAGTTAACTGTATTTCATTGGTCAAAAAGACCGAAGTTACAAGAGGTGTGGCGACCCCAAGGGGTCGCACTATACAGGCCCAATCAGGGATGAAGCAGTGTACAAAAGAGGAAAAGGAAAGAAGCCGCATAGGGAGGGCAGAAGGAGGTAAAGGCTTTAAGTCCCTAAAGTGGAGCAGGATGCCCCCTCAGCAAGCCTATCAGCATCAAAATTGGCTTCTCTATACACGTGTCGCCAGACAATGCTGAATTCTCTGGTGCTGTGCAAAATCTCTTCAAAAATGTCATCAAGACGCCATGGCCAGGAAGAACGATTAGAGGCCCCGTCTCCTTCCACTGTCAAATTGTGACACCAAGAGGGGTCACACTTGCGAAGGCTCTCCAAGAGGGCAAGGGCCTTGGCAGGAGTACCCGACGCCGATAGGTGGGGAAAAGGACATCAGAATGCATTCCTCACTAGTGCGTAGTAGCCCCCCTATCCTGGGTTACCAAGGGAACAGCCATCGAAGTTGAGCTTAAAAGCTCCCAATTCCGGTGGTCTCCAACGGGAAGCTCTAGAGATATTGGGGGCCGGGGGGGGCGTTGAAGGGTAAGTTCTTAAACAAACGGTGATTGCTGGCCCAGAAGGCCACATGATTCCTGACCTTCTCGACCAACTG